ATACACGACATATAGCCTGGATAGCTGGTGTATGAGTGAATTGGAATACACGACATATAGCCTGGATAGCTGGTGTATGAGTGAATTGGAATACATGACATATAGCCTAGATTGCTGGAGTATTAGTGAATTGGAATACACGACATATAGCCTAGATAGCTGGTGTATGAGTGAATTGGAATACACGACATATAGCCTGGATAGCTGGTGTATGAGTGAATTGGAATTCACGACATATAGCCTAGATAGCTGGTGTATGAGTGAATTGGAATTCACGACATATAGCCTAGATAGCTGGTGTATTAGTAAATTGGAATTCACGACATATAGCCTAGATAGATGGTGTATGACTGAATTGTAATTCACGACATATAGCCTGGATAGATGGTGTATGAGTGAATTGGAATTCACGACATATAGCCTGGATAGCTGGTGTATGACTGAAATGGAATTCACGACATATAGCCTAGATAGCTGATGTATGAATGAATTGGAATTCACAACATGTAGCCTAGATAGCTGCTGTGACATTAATAATCTCATTTGGTATTACATAATCGACCAATAAATTGAAGGAAACACGATTTTACCGGAGCTTGGCTGAAGCTGTTTACTCCGGCGACATTTGCACGTAAATAATCCATATTGTGTAGAAGCGTATATACTCTATTTGGCGCGCTTTGATTTGTACTAGGGTTACTATAAGATTATTACGAGAATACCTCAAAGTATGCACGAAGACAGTACAGCGGAGGTTGATGCGCGGCGTACTGTCTGAGTGCATACTTTGGTATTCTCGTAATAACCTTATTATTATAGATCTTTTCCTTCCAAGGATACAGCATGGGAATGCCGAAATTCAAAATGTTTACAACAGAATCAACGAACTTCTTTGTGTGGAGTCCGGTCAAACCCTGGTGGCAGCCATGTTTATTTTTATTATTAGAGGACGCTTACGTGCGTAAGCAATCCATATTTGGAATTCGCATTTCCTAATATGGTAGGATGAAAATACCCCGTAAAATACCGCAAAATTACAGCACGCTGTAACTTATGGCGTTACAGTGACAGATGTATAATAATTTGAACATGAATGGGTTATTGAATGCCAATATTTTACTAACATTTCTCACGAATCTTCCGTGAACATTTAAATTATTTTCACGCCTTTCAACGAAATATTATTAATATCACATAAAATCACGTTATAAATTAAATTAACATATGTACAGTAGTTGTACTCACTGGTTTCAATCACCGGTTGACACTACTATGCAGACTGACAAATTAGAGGCCATTCAAGTACTTCAAGTCTCGTATCAAGTTGAATGATTCGGAAGTTGACCTATACGTGTACATACTTGTATGGCAGTCAGCTAATGTGGTAATTGTTTCCGTGTTTTTCTATTAACTTTCTGAACATTCAACCACGTGATTTGGTTGAAATCAATGGTCAAATTTTCAATTCTATTTATCAGTTTACACCTTGAGTTCATTGACACGATTTGAGTGATACCAGAGACATTACAATCGCACGCCGTATATGCATAACTCGTAGATAGCTTCACTTACTAAAACGTTTTGAGCAAAAACACTAGAGAGAAATATCAACGTATTTCTGCATTCTCAGTGAACTTCGTAATTTGTTATTATCCCTTAAAACAATTGAAAATTGTCAACAGTATTCTGATTAAAACGGAACTTTATGAATTAATGAAATCATTTTATCACCAGGAGTCATCGTCTATCGATTCAACACGAGTTTGCAGCAAATTTTAAAACACATCGGATTGGCTGGTGCGTGAAATACAAGAAGAATGTAACGCGTATGCTACTATCGGAATCAATGACTAGGTTTCAATGTAGGAGTAAACAGATTTTTTCGCTATGCAGATTTAATGCTGTGAGGGAAGCACACGAGAAAGCCCGCCCTCTTGAGGCTGATTATCAGATAAATGATAACTATGCAACTTGATACTGAGGCACTTGTATCGCTGATGAATTCTGTAGGTAACATACCATCTACTTCTGTAGTATGTAGTGGAGAGATAGTCAATGTATTGAGCACCATTAATGTACATTGGTTGAATGTATGAGCTGATATTTGTCAGATTAAAGGCCTACAACTCATGTGGCACTGATTAACAAACAAACAAACAAAGTGTTCTAATAAGGACTGTGCACAGTCAACAAAATTACTCAAAAAATTCACGTATATCCAACTGCCCAGAAGTAGAGTTATCTGATTGACCATACTGGCTGGCCGTAATTGTAAGCTATTGAATTATCAACAAGCTTGATCAGAGCAACGCGTATATCCATGTGTCATTGAATGAAGATTCTAAGTATCACAATAAATACACACCACGATCTATTCCAGTATTACTGTCTTCTTGACAAACAATATGGCAATGATGATATCATTGTGTATACGTAGATGATAACATGAGTACAGTCAAAATCTAATCATTTACAAAACCCAGAGACAGTTCTGTGAAAGTTGTTTGAAGCACAAAAATGAGTCTGGGCAATAAAGGAAAAAAATGTGTTTTTCTATGCTAAGGAAGTTGAATATCTAAGATACAAAAGTGATTCTGAAGGGTTAAATAGTAATGTATATTTGGAACTTTTTAACTACTGTGGTAGTTTTGTGGATAGACTGGCAAATAAGTCTTCTTCCGGTAACTACTGAATGAGAAAAAACAATAGTTTAGGAATAGGATGAGTTATGATGACACATCACCCAATTATAGTGGAGACGAAGAGAAACCACTAGCGTTAGCTGCATATACATTGAATCAAACTGAAAAGAACTATTCACCGGAAAAAGGGTTAATTGTGTTTAGCTTCAAAATAGTAAGTGATACATAAACTATTAATGTCATTTTCTTTATTGAAGCCACCATGAACTTGCCATGAATACAACGTTCAAGTATAATATTTTCATTTTATTCATGTATAAAATAGAGACGTTGATGAGTTATGCAGATTCGTTAAATCAAGTCATTGTGCCACCACGGTCATTCAACAAATGCATATATATCACTAACAACAATGTCAATACATCCACGGGATGCAACTAAAATAAACATGGGATCGTATTCATATTGACTACACATAACCATTTCTAAATGTTTCTTATTCTGACGGTTCCCTGTTCAAAATTAATGGATGTACAGGGTGTAGGATGTAGGGTGATTTGTACTGGTAACCCCGTGCACTCTGGGGGTGATTTGAGCCACTGTTTAGTAATAGGTGGGATAGTGGATGAGTCGGAGTGGCAATTCTTCGGCAAATCAAATGAAAATAGTAATGAATAGATGAAAACGAACTGCCAGCAGGAGGTGGAACTAATAAAACGTGTGAAAAAAAATTCTATTTTATCACAATAAACGTAAAGTGAAATGGTTTTCTATTTAATGCATTTCCTTTATCTACATATACAAAAGCGTAGTAATGATATTTTCGAAAAATTGAACAATGGTCCCTTTTAAATGTAACAGCAAAACATTTTCTGAATTCTAAAAACCCGAATGCTGTATTCGAAACTGGCGTGGATTAAGGTTGAGTAGGAATAATTACAAGTCTGAGTTGTCATCACTTGTGAGCTGATGTTGTTATCTTCTGAATATCGCAAAGATAGCCTGACGATAGGACTAAATTGATGTTTTCATAGAGCTAACATAATGTAAAACACAGTAAACACCAATGTTTGCCAGCATGCTGTATGCCAATCGGCACTGATAAAATAAAGTGAGACCAAGAAAAAACACAACTTACATTACTAAATAGAAATTAAAGATCAAAAGTACAGTAAAAGTTTGGTAATTTAACAAAGTGCCCTATGCCTGATGACAATGATTGTCACTATGATTCCACTCCGTCTTGATAAGTCGTGATTTTGGAGTTGTTTAGTTTAGTCGGTGTCAAACTTATTTAAGCTATATAAGCGAACAGTATTCAAGATCGTCAGATAGAGACATAATTGGGCAAAATGTCACGTGGGTTTAATATATATATATATATTATGCCAATTTTCGGACACGTACTACAATTCGAATTTGTTTTGCTTCTCTCTATTAACAATCGACCAAACTGAATCTTGGTAGGGTTCTCATATAACTCGTCTTTATAATAGTTTTAACAATTGGCCATTTGAAGTTTTAATTGTCGACAGATTGATCAGTCTTCGGACTGTGAGAAAGTGAATGAGCTCTACATGTATTTTATCAGTCCATTTGTTAATAAAAGCTATAGGAACGAACATGTATGTACCCAAAAGTTACGGCGTGAAGTGTGTGGCCTTTCTACCTCGTGATAGTGAGCTTTTATCAGCCATCATTTCAGCGAGTATACAATTAAAATGGAAGTTGAAATGTTCGACGTGGTCATACATATCATTACAGTTATCCAAGCAAGTTGTAATTGTTAATTAGTATAGTAAAATAGTATCTTTGAATTTAAAGTTCAATTTGGTGATGTCACTGGTAAAGTTTAATTTGGTTATGTCACTGGTAAAGTTTAATTTGGTGATGTCACTGGTAAAGTTTAATTTGGTGATGTCACTGGTAAAGTGTACGTCATAGTAAATTATCCGAAAACTGGCATAAGCTAATTCCCAATACATCGTTTGCAGGGTTCATGGTCACGTGGTGTTACACCGCAGACGTCATCAGGAATCGAACATTTGCCGCCATTGTTTGTTGATAATTCAGGAATACACACATGTACGTGCAGCAGACGTTGATATATATCTGTCTGATATCTGTTTCCAAAACTCCGCTCTATTTCGGCAATCCAGGATGTAACAATGTTCACACTTTAGTGAACTATAGTACCTTGTCTATGTAATGTACCTGCACTGTATTTTAGTTGTGTCATATTCCTGTCCCAGCAAACCACATGTACCTCTAAATTGTACAACCACATTCCGCAAAAAACACACACTATAACTAAAAGACTAAAGCACGGCAATTCCGTGCATACTACGCCCTACACACCTCCGCCGTAATATAACCATTGCTTCTCATCGGTGAACATTGAAGGTACTGCAGTGAAGCTGTCAACTCAATGTTGTCATCGTCAAACCTTGCAAAATACAGTCCGAATCTTCCTGCTAAGGTCTGAAAATAACGTACATCCATGACGTCAGGCGGAAAAATAACATATAGCCATGACGTCAGTAGAAAAAATGGCATACATCCATGATGTCAGTGTGGAAAATAACATATAGCCATGACGTCAGTGGAGAAAATAACATATATCCATGACGTCAGTGGGAAAATAACCCTTTATCTATGACGTAAATGGGGAAAATAGCATACAGTCATGACGTCAGTGGGGAAATGACATACATCTATGACGTCAGTGTGGAAAATAACCTATACTAATGACGTCAGTGGCGAAAATGACATACATCTATGACGTCAGTGGGGGAAATAACATACATCCATGACGTCAGTGATGAAAATAGCATACAGTCATGACGTCAATGGGGAAATAACATACATCCATGACGTCAGTGATGAAAATAACATACAGCCATGACGTCAGTGGTGAAAATAGCATACAGTCCTGACGTCAGTGGGGAAAATAGCATACAGTCATGACGTCAGTGGTGAAAATAGCATACAGTCATGACGTCAGTTGTGTAAATAACATACAGCCACGATTCCTAGTATAGTGTATTGAGTTTTACATGGTCTTCCACTGACCCAAGCCATTGTAATAAAAATAACAGTTTTGCAGTGCCTAAGTTTGGCCAAAGTATTCAATATATACTATATATTGAGTTCGGTGATTTGTCGTCGTATCTATACTACAAATACTGCATTTGACAAATTAGACCAATGATTGTTGTAACAGTGAATACCAAAAATATTATAAGAAACGCTCTGTCGATGACGCGTGCGACCTGTTTCCATTCCTTGTGTAAGTCCTCATTCGCCAACTGGTCGCTGTATAGTTGCAACACGTCCCCCACTTTTAACGATATATTACGCAGTTCTCTCAAAATATGTTGATTATTTTCCGCCGTTACTTGACTACCGCAATCACTGCCACAGTGATTACAATGCTCAACATAACGTTTGTCATTGCCGCGATTGGATATACCGGGTGATGAGGTCATTTTATGACGTTCACAGTTGTTGGACCTCACTGAAAGCCTCTCCATGCAGATTTCGTCTATTTTACGGATAGTACTCTCCCTATTTGTCAACAGGGATACCGTTTCAAATCCATGTCTGCGTTCAAGTCTTTTTCTGCTGCTGTTTCTTTTTGCTGACTTTTCTGGAGATACTTGGTCTGATTTTACACACAGTGACCTGCCCAGCCAACCGAAGGCCATATTACGTAGCCATGGTGGCACCTCATACCATCCCGGATTGCGATGATAGAAGTTGAGTACAATCACTGTCATGGCCGTTGACAGCGACACCAGTACCATAGTCATTACGTAATATTGAACTAAAGACAAAAGAATAATCAGAAACATGACATTAGTGATTATGATTTATTGTATCTAGCATAGTAAGAATAAACAAATTGCATACAATTAAAATCGCCAGGTCTTGAACAAGTGAATGACGTCACATGTCATTCGATACCGACACACCTGCCTACTTCATCGTTCTGGAGTCTGAACCCTGGATGAAAGCACTTTGTCGCCAGCTCGCTAGCGCTGTGCTTGACAATTACGATTGCGTTTTAGCAAACACGCTGTCCAACTCCGTAGTGACGCAAAAACAACAACTCAATAACTACTCGGAGGAGGGGGAATGCATAATGCAACAAATTTTGTCGTCGACTACTTACCTATAAATGGGATGGTGTCGGATGTCGGCGGCATGAATTCCGATGCCAACAATAGAAACACTGTCAACGACAGTAATATGGTTATGTCGAGGGTTACTTTCTCCCCAGAATCACACGGTAAATAGAATCCTAGCACCGTGACAGCGAATATCAGAGCACATGGCACTATCAAATTTAAAACATAAAACAGTGGGCGCCGATGAAGGTCTAACGTGACTGTGATGAGCGCGAATGGTGTATGAGGGTCGTCCAAGTGATCGTAATGTTCCGTCTGCCTCGATATGTCCATGTTGTCTAAATCCCATTCACCGTTATCAACGAAGTACGATGTGTTTCCCATGCCTACCTCCATATCTATGAAATACTGTGGGTATTGCCATGAACCGAATGTCAGGGTGCACTGCTGCTGATCAAATGGAAAGAATCGAATGTCGATTTTACAGAAACTTTTGATAATGACCGAGGCACTCCAGTCAACGTGTCCGTCATTTCTTGCAATCATTAATGCCCTGTTCATGAAATCATCCCATCGGGTATCTGCACTGAATAAGAATGCAAATAAACAATGTTACTACAAATATATATTTGTACTGTACGTGATGATCAGAATTCAATTGGTGTTCGAACGTTACAATATCAATATCAATTCGAATGTGTCCTATCCGTTCAAAATCTGAACGGATCAAAAAATCAAAAACTTTCATGACCCATACATTTACACATCCGGGTTCATTTGTTGGTACGACGGCACAGACATACACAGTTGAAAATGCGGCTTTTTGTTCCTATCGGAAACCTTTTACTTTAGTAGCTTACAACGAAGTGAAGAAAATAGTGGTGAAATATGGATAAAATAATTTCATTTTTTATTTTCATACCAACAATATTGACCTATAGAATGATTGCTTTATTATTAAATTGCTTTGTGTTTTCTCAAAGCTTGCATGTATTTCCATTAACGCTGTTGCGTTTGCAACGAGTTCGAGTTACGGATACACGCACGCACATTCCAATGCATACACTACAATTATCTGGATGAGTTGAGTAGGTACGAAAGCATATAGTCGGTTGTCATGCTGGATAAGTTTGCAGACTGTATGACATCACCCTGTGTAATTTTGAATACGGTAAGATGTTACAAAGGGTAAGTTATCATACAGTCTGGTGTTACCAAGGGTAAGTTAGTACAGTCTGGTGTTACCCAGGTTAAGTTAGTACCGTCTGGTGTTACCCAGGTTAAGTTAGTACAGTCTGGTGTTACCCAGGTTAAGTTAGTACAGTCTGGTGTTACCCAGGTTAAGTTAGTAAAGTGTGGTGTTACCCAGGATAAGTAAGTACAGTCTGGTATTACCCAGGTTAAGTTAGTACAGTCTGGTGTTACCAAGGGTAAGTTAGTACAGTCTGCTATTACCCAGGTTAAGTTAGTACAGTCTGGTGTTACCAAGGGTAAGTTAGTACCGTCTGGTGTTACCCAGGTTAAGTAAGTACAGTCTGGTGTTACCCAGGTTAAGTTAGTACAGTTGGTGTTACCCAGGTTAAGTTAGAACAGTGTGGTGTTACCCAGGTTAAGTTAGTTCAGTCTGGTGTTACCCAGGTTAAGTTAGTACAGTCTGGTGTTACCCAGGTTAAGTTAGTACAGTCTGGTGTTACCAGGGTAAGTTAGTACAGTCCGGTGTTACCCAGGGTAAATTAGCACAGTCTGGTGTCACCCAGGGTAAATTAGTACAGTTTGGTGTTACCAGGGTAAATTAGTACAGTATGGTGTGACCCAGGGTAAATTAGTACACTCTGGTGTGACCCAGGGTAAATTAGTACAGTCTGGTGTTACCCAGGGTAAGTTAGTACAGTCTGGTGTTACCCAGGGTAAGTTAGTACAGTCTGGTGTTACCCAGGGTAAGTTAGTACAGTCTGGTGTTACCC